TCACACTTCTTACGTTCTTGACTAGGGGCTGAACAGCTCCGAAGTGGGAATCGGCCGAGGGGATTGCAGCCGTTTCCGACCACGCCCACCCTGCTGGGACTGTTGCTTTAAGTGATAGTGGAATGGGACAACTGGGATTTTTGATTTAAGCTTCGGCCACTTTGTTCCACGCCCTTCTGCCATAGGCCATTCACTTCAAATTCGCAAACTTCTATCCCCTTTTCAAAGGCCCCGTACTGTTTCAGCTCCACAAAACATATGTTTGACGTAGCCCTGCCCACCTCGGTGTACGGCGCGGCAAAAAGGAGCATTTGACCCCTCCTCCTTTGTTATTCTCCATCCATTTTTCTTGCCATTACGACGTCCCAAAACGCAATTGTGGATAAGGCTCGCCCCTAGTGAGCTGATGGTAATCTCCGTTGATTTCAGGTATGCTTTACACATACTGGACAATGTTCACCTACTTTTTGGGTCTCTTTGATTCCATATACCCTTTGCTCACCGCTGCCCATATTACATCGCCTATTTCTAGGCTATTCTTCGACCGATCCACGAAATTCCTCCCTGGACACCAACCAAATGTATCCACTTTTGAGCGGGGCTCTGCATATTTCATATGCACCTGGGTCCCTGCTCCATCCATCCCACAATCAGACGAGCCAGACCCAGCCTCTCCAGAAGCTCATCCAAGTAATGCGAATACGTGACAAATATGCAGAGAGACAGACACCTCCTTGTATAATAACAATAAAAATACAGAAAAAGAAAACCGTGAAAGTTGAAGAACTGTAAAACGCATGGGAGACTCAACAAGACTCACAATTTTTCCTTCAGAGTAATCTCGCAGCCGCAATTCCAGCATTGCGTCGAGCAGAACAGTACGAGATGGACCCGACACCTAAAGCCGCGTCAGATGTAAGCTAGGACAACTGAATGCTATGGATATGTTGACGTATGTCAGGTATTCGTGCGTAAAGCTTCAAATGGAGTGAAGGCAGAAACATTCCGTTTCAGAGTACTTATCTCTACCTTCTTGAGGGCGAACTCAATGAAACCTGCAGCTTTCGGGAAATCACCGGCAAACACCTTGAGAAGCTGCGTTGGGTCGACATTGTCTACAATCGGGAGATTATTTAACAACTGAACAAACAAACAATTATATCATTGAACGTCTACCTCCTGAGGACTTCTCAATAACAGCCTGTAATAAATCCACGGTTTCACTCGGACATGCTTCAAAAAGCAGATGACCGTACTTCTCTATAAATGTGCATGCCTAGAATGGTCGGTTTTAGGAACTGCAGAGCAGGCTTTTGCATCAAACGTGACGCAGCGCAGATCGTTTTGAGAATGTATTTAATGGCAGTCGCGTGTCTACCGAGGTCTTCCACCATCATCGATAACGCATAATCGTGCATACCGAGTTTCACAGCAAAAAGGCTAGCATCTTCTGACAGTTTCAATGACCGGAGTACCTAAAATCAGGGCATTAGAGATAGGATGTGCTTTTATCGAGTTTTGGAAAGCGTGAAGAAAAAGCTGTAGACTAAGTCTTGACTGTCATTATGTTTAACGTATTGCCACAAGGGCATAAGCCCAATTCTGTATAAGCTGATGAGGCTAAAATGAAGTAAGGCCATAATAATGCTATCCGACAATTTGCATGAGTCTACCCTAATTACTTTTATAAAGTTCTGGTCCCTGCAAGTGATTGGAAAAAATTGAATTACTGCTGTTCTTTACGATTCCGAGTATAGAAGAATTAGATCGAGATGCTCAGTGAAAAGTCTACCTCACACAGTCAATCTCATTAAATTACTTCTGCAAGGCGTAACAAGATAATTCATAAGTTCATTTTTATCGAGAAATACGGGCACTTTTGCTCTTATCCAAGAGAAACTTAGTCGAGCCACTTCAACTGTGGGATTATTGTCGCTGGACAAGCCCTTTTGGAATTTTCATCCATGTTCTACAGATAGATATATGGACGCCATAAGCATCGGTAGAAATTTCTTTCTCTTCTTTCCCCTTCTTTTTTTCTCAACTTCAGTGACTAAAGGATAGAGTATATAGCATATGTTTGGCAGAAAGGCAGTTGCTACTCACATCGAACACCGTGGCCATATCGGTTCTGCCATCCTTGGAAATCTTTTCAAGGAATTTCATCATTTTCTCACGTTCCTCCAGTTGAGCATAGCAATGTAGAAGAATGCTTGTATGATGTAAATTATAACGATTTGTCTCATGAAGAGCTTCCATATAAACACATAACTGCCTCAGCCGGGATCCTTCCAGGTACTGAAAAACGAATTCGACATGGAAATAGAAAATTTCTCGATATCTAAACACAGTGACTGATAACGATATCTCATATCACGACGAGAGGATGACCGCGATATCTTCATTCTTCTTCCCATAGAACGAAAATTGCAGTTTTCTGCCCTCCGCCTAGCTTTTAATCTAAGAAGAGGAATAAACGCAGTTCCTCAAAATGAGTTTCAAAGTTAGAAAAATGAAAATCCGAAGCCCCTCAACTTCACGACCTGCGTTATCAATATGAATGATAAGGCAAACAACTTACTCGCTTAATGACGTAAGATGGCTCAAGCATTCCGATCGTCTCTTTATACTCGTGAATTGCGCTATCAAAATCTGCTTTCCTATAAAGGGTTAGAAAGTTGTTCTAAAATGTCACTTTGAAGTTAAACAACAGCCCTCCCTACCCGTAGAGATAGTCGCCATATTTGGCGTGAATTGACTTCAAGTGCTCGGCACCGTCCTTGTTGTTCTTGGCTAAGCTGCAAAAATTTTATGCGCAACTTCTTCAGCTCGAACACAAATAAAAATCTGAATGGGTACTCAGCCTAACTACCTAAGGATTTTGTGGTCGGCTATGATTCGATTTTCTTTATGTTCATTTTGTTTTATTCTCGTAAATAACTCTACTACTACCAACATAGAAAATTGTTCTCTGGCTCCAGCTAACTGGAATCACTGAAGCAAGACCTCCAACACCTCTGGCTACTGCGGTAGTCCACTTATGGCCACCACGAAAAACCTCATAATCGACAGAAGAAAACACCTACATAATTGCTACATCATACAGGTTCTTCTTGAAAAGAATGTCCAGTTTTGCATTGAGGCTTTTCTCTGTAAGTTTTGATAGTGTTCCATCTTTGCCCAATATCATCAACGACTGGTCAACAGTGAACAACCTAAATTGTCGACACGTCATTAAAGCATAATTCTGACGACAACGCCTGAAATTACAAGAATACTTCATAGCGATTCGACAGTAAAACTGCTAACTGAGAAAGCGCAGTCTGATGTTTTCAAAGAATGAAATCTATCCCCTACCAAGTGACGAACCGAGAACGAAAAATCCTATCTATTGCTCTTTGACGTTGTAAGACGGTTACAATTGAGCATGTACTCATCAATCCTCGATCTGAAAAATAAGATACTAGAATCTAGTTGAAGCACGTACTCCGGGATTGTATATTATACGAAGTTATACGAGGTAGGGAAATGATAGCAGTTTGCGAAGGTTCCCCATAGCGTGCACACGGCTCGAAAGTGGATGACAAGTGCGCTAGGATCAAGCCATCGCTCTCGACTAGTGATCATAATTGGTTCTCCTACCACTCGGAAACAACCAAGCGCTAAAACGCACGCTTCTACGAGCGCGCTGTCGCACATTCTCCGCCTTCCGCATTGTCCCTCCGTCGGTACCACGGCAGACTGACAGACACTAAAAAGTCCAATTTTACTGCTCCGTAATGATTTGCTTTGGTTCTTTTTATTTTCAAGCCCATAGCCACCGTCACACTATTGACATTAGTGAAGACTACTAATATCGAACCTAATTCATCCTGTGGCGGCTTTCAAAGAAAAATCGAGAGCAGAAGTCCTTAGTTAGTAGGTTAAGACAACTCAATTATTTTTCCCAAAAAATTTACTCACGGAATTAATGCGTGCTGCTTCGTAACCAACACCAGATGGTCGCCCAAGGCAATCAGCTGCAACTTCTCATGGCTTCTACCCAATTGGAGACACCGTCCACGGTACCCATCAGCATCAGTACATTGATCGGCCTCAATAGAAGTTCACCATCTATAATAAATGGACAAGTCTCCAATCTGTTAGGTATGAGAGCAGTACTAGATTGAGCTTCCATCCTTAAATTCATTTCTAATTCCTGATTCGCCATATGGCAATCGGCAATGCGACTACATTCATGGGACTACATTCTGGGAATCGAAAATTTTATTGTGATTCTGAGCTGAACAACTTTCATTGAGAAGGTATTCCCTGAGTGAAATACTTAAACACGATCTGGGCCGGTGTGCGATGGTGCGAAGCGACCTGTATGCTCTACAACTTCAACAAGGGCAGGGAGGCTACTGTATTTCAGTTTGATTCGTTCAATTGCACGCATGCCCCTCATTCTTCAGCTTCAATTTGGCGTGTTTGTTCTACTCGCGATTCCTTGTCTTCAGCGATTATATTACCAGAGTAGTTCACTTGGCACATTGCAGAGCGAACTTCATATTGCGCGCTTTCTCCTCTAGAAGCATAAAAACCTTGTTCCAGCTTTTCGCCACATATGTTCGTCCCATACTAGAATACTGTACCATGGTGTGGAGCCCTTCATCGCGTAACATGGTTGAGCTCATTGAGCAAGTTCAGTCTAAATTTACTGAACGAATTTTTGCTCGTGAGGGAATTTTTCACATGTCGTATAAAGATAGACTGATATACCTTAACGAAGACTCTCTAGAAATGAGAAGAAAGCTATACGATTAATGATTTTGTTTATAAAATTTCTGCCGGCCTTGTAGATTTGGATTTTGATGCTCTTTTCAAAAAGTCAACAACAATAGGGCGCACACGGGGTCATAACTACAGACTCCTGAGAGAGAAAACCAATACCGCTGAATTTCGAAGCTCATTCACTCAGAGGATTATCACCTTTTGGAATGACTTGCCACCCTCTGTCGTAAATTCGAGCTCTCCCAGCTCGTTCAGGAAAAAAGTTAGAAAAATCATGATTTCCAAAGGTTGGTTCTGAGGACATGAAACTAAACACTCCTAATCTGTTAAGGCACAGAAGCGATCTTATTCTATCCAGTTATTAAATGCACTGCATTCTTTGTATTTTTATAGTTTTTCATGTTACTGTTTGTTTCTATACACTTTTGTTTGACTTCATTGCTTACATTAAGCTGAATTAGTTGATTTTTCCCTACCCTCACTGGACCTTCTGCTACAGAGCGGATTCCGGCAAGGTTGGCGGACCTACTGAGTTGGTATCCGGAGCTCCACTTTCATGGCATGGCATGAGCTTGCAGTGTTGGCGGCCACTGCCCTTCGGCGCTGGATTTCCGCTCCCTGTTCTAGCAGTACCCATTTTTTGGTGCCCCATTCGGTCGTATTGTACTTTTATCGGAGATATGTTTCTACTGAATCGTAATGTTTTGTTTCTGGAATTTTGGATTCCGATGATAAATATCAAATATCAAAATTCAATATCAACTATTCCTCTACAGGGTGGCTACTAAATATTGGCGCATGGATTGTTGACCATATTTTTAAAAACGAGAAGCTTTTACATCTTCAGAGGTTTATCTTTATATACCTTATAACATGGCAGTACATTGCTAAAGAAAGTGCTCGAGATGGCCTCCTTTGGTAGCGATACAGGCTTGAAGTCTCTTTTCAACTGACATCACTGTGGGCCGCAAGTAGCTGACGTCAAGCTCCTTCCACGCCTCCTCCAAGGAAGCCTTCAAGGAGTCCAAACTTTCGACGTTGCTCAGAAGACATCTTCTGCTTTAAGAAACCCCACACCGCCAAATCAATTGATTCAAATTCGGGCCACTTAGATGGCCAAACATTTTGTGCTCGGTAACTTGGAAAATGACGGTCACAGTTCTCCAACATTGATTTTGCGGCATGTGAGGCGCCCTGTTTGCTGAAGAATGCAATGACGTTCGCTGAAGGTCAAAAGAGTCCTTGGAAGAAGGGCATTACGTGAAAATTGTTTCCGGGTAGATCTGGGCGCTGGCTTTGATGTATTCATCCACAAAGACAAGCGGTGTCATGGTTTCAGAAGTAATTCCTGCCCAAACCATGACAAATTTGAAAAACGGTTCCTTGTGTGTACACAAGGTCGAGCAGAATGTCTGCTAGCCAGATCCAACAACTGCCTGTCGTTTTGCAAATCGTGCGCCACTTCTGGTCTGAAGATCTACTCACGTCACGCCGACGTCGGCTACTTGCGGCCCACGGTGATGTCAGTTGAAAAGAGACTTCAAGCCTGTATCGCTACCAAAGGAGGCCATCTCGAGCACTTTCTTTGGTAATGAAATTTTCATGTTTTATTGTATATGAAAATAAACTTCTGAAGATATGATAGCTTCTCTTTTTGGAAATATGATCAATAAACCATGCGCCAATATTTAGTAGCCACCGCGGGCCCCCTTATAGTTTATGAAAGGACATCCTCGAAGAGTCGGTGTCGCAGATGATTCAACGATTTGGGGGAATGGAGATGAGAGCTTGGAGCGCGAAGATCGTCTTCACGACGCTGTGGAAGAGGGAATGAAGCGTTCCACTGCTAGACATCAGGACTTCATGTGCAACTGAATAGAAGACGATCGCTACTCATCTCCGTGCCCTTAGTTGCTAAGCGAATTCAGTAAAAAGGAGGCGCTATATAGGGCATCCTCCCACGATCAGACGCTCGATTGCCTCGCAAGATCGGTATGAGCTGGTAGAGTCAGCCCACGTATATGAGCTCAAATACTGGTCTTCCGCTGCATTTCCGCCATGATAATCCCGATATTTCGCCTATCTACCTAGTTATCATTTGTTTCGATCCACGCAAATTTCGTGGCTGACAAAGAATTCATAATTTCGATGAAGTTCCGTTTTTCTTCGACTCAGCCACGCATGCGTTTTTTTAAAGGCGTATTTCCTTTACAGGAAGATGGCGAAGAGTAATTGATTGTGATGGAATATACTCGTTGGATTGTGCTGTTGACTTTTCATTTTTTACCGATTTCGTTTTTTTGGTCAAACGCGCCTTCATATTTCTCCAACCTAAATAAGGTAGAACAATTAAATGCGCGAAGACCGAAAAAGCCGTTCATAAAAAGCAAGAAGTAGAAGAAATTGTGAGCTTTTCTGAACTTAGACAGCGCAGTTTTTCTAGACCAATGAGAAATAATAACTCAGTATCACTTACATCTCGACTAGCTACAACGAGAGAGCCAGTTCTCTCGTCGAACGTCCAGCAATCCTTGGATGTGCCATTTGAATCGTGTTTCAGCTAAAATCTTTTCTTCATGGCAATGAAATAAAAGTACTCAAAAGTTACAGCAGCAAAAAAATTTCCGTACAACGACCTTGCAGGCAACAAAGCAGGTAAAATTTCTGAAAAAAGGGCAAAATGAAAATCTATCACACATAAATATGCTAGCAGACATGCATTAGTATTCATCTACTGGAAAATTGTCGAAGTTTATTTTCCCATGGAGCAGTTAAAGTACTAGAGAGGGTCACGCTCGTGGAGGAACTCTCGATAGGAAAGCTGCTACGAGTAGTGGCGTTGCAGAAGTCACCAATACCGAAAAAAGGAGGCGCCGGTTTCATAGTAAATCCAGAGAACTTCGGGTGGAGAGCTCTTGAACCAGGCCGTAGATTACGGTAGCGGCAGCCGAACGAAGAGACTTTTTCCTAGACTGCGAACTACCCGTAGAGAGGCATGAGGAGCTCCACCTAATCAGTCAAGTGGTCCAATATTTAAGTTCATTATTTCAACCATTTCTTCGCCTACTTTTGTCACGGTTATCCTTGCTCGTTTGTGGTGTTACAGATATGGCCTTTGACTAATATTTCGCTTCCATTCTATTTAATTTCTATATGTGATTTCTCAATTCATCTAGGAATCGATTTTGAACACAGCGAAACTCCGAACATTCACTTGAGAAGTGATGACCCCTCCTTTCGGACCACCGCTTGGGATGGTAAAGAACAAGGTAAGAGGTAAAGAAAGCAGGGGTAGTTGTAAGTTGAAAGATAGGTTAAGAAAGAGGGGAGTCGTACTTGGAAAAACTCTTTGTCACCCCCCTTTCCCTTGAAGAATAAGAAGGGGATTTTACATGTGCACAAATTTCCTGAGATGATGGGTGTTAAACATGAGAAAAAATACCTTATTAACCCATATATACTTTTGGGGCTACGTGATCTATCATAACATTGTTTTATACCTTTGTCCATCACTCCATGTGTATCGGTTAATTGCAGTTTGTCGTATGGTTTCAGACGGTCTTTATTATCTTACACGGGCCAAAATTAATAGAGAGAAATCTCTCAAGTAGTTTTGGTATTGGGATTAGTCGTACGTTTGATTTCAAACCAAGCCTCAGCTTGTGCTTTGAAATCAATGTACTAATCACACAATCACTAATTCGTACCGCTTGTATTTTTAATTCATCGATACCGACATAGAAAAAATTACCTAAAAAACTCGTTCAACCGGCTTGTAAAGTTGGTGTGGGGCATGCCAATAGCGTTAAAAATATGATAATCAATATTTGAAAAGCTATGAGGGGGCAAGCGTGTAAGTACGTAGCTGCTGGACATGAACCAAGTCATGACATGTCCAGGACGAAAGTTTCCCGGTTAATTTGCGCTTCAGGATAGCCCTACAGAGTTTTGAAGAAAAAATTTAGGTAAATATGTTAAAAAGCCAGGTCGCGGGGGGGCGTGCAGATATAAGTTAAAGCACCCGCGTGGGCAAGACGCAATTCCAGAAACGATAACCACTGAGAAAAAAAGTATTGAAGCCTTAAAATACGTGGGCTAGTTTTATATATAAAACCAGAGAGAGTAAAATGAGTGAAGAACCAACGTCCAAGTCGCCGCCGAGCCATGCCTGAAATGACCGGAGCTCCTTGCAAACACAACCATTCATTTGGGTGGTAGGCAGTAAAAAATTCACACCGCTTCCCAGAATATTATGGACATAGAAATATGGATACAGACTAGCAAAGAAGAGAGGTGAAATTTAGTGGTGTGCAGAGCGTGAACCGCGACAGGTGAAGACAAAACCGACCTAGTTTCGAAGTCCCTGAGACAGTCTGGGCCAAAAAAAAAGTTTATGGTGACTAGCGAAAGATGAGTCAAATGCTCAAATTATGCGCAGCTTGACCAAGAGGGGCAAGGCATGAAGTACGTTGGCGAATCGTGCACCGAGGTGGAATCCACAATCAAAAAATCGGCGGAATATGCACAGAGATGGACTGGGTTTAGGTGAAAATTCTGCTCGTTTCATTCCACAACGCTGAAGCCCCGCCTGACGCACACTTCATTTCGAGGAGCCCAACTTGAGAGTAATTTTACATCAAAGGCTTTTCGGATGTTCATTACAAATGAATCAAAGAAAGCGTACCGAATTTATCACAGCTTTGTTCTCAATGACATATGAGTTGACCACTTTTGTGGTGATCACAAATACAACCAATTTTTCTCCAGGCAACTGCGCCAGAGCGAGGCCAGACACCGATCCATCGAGGGGCAGCGGATCACGAATACGCTGCCACCGTGAAGTTAGAGCCTTCAACGTAGACATGAAATTCTGATAAAGAAACTGGCAGACAGGGTTGTAACTTTTAAATAGTTTTAAAATTAATAACTACCTTATCCTTAATAACAGTGCCTTGGTAGAGCAGTACGGTCCCATCGACGAAACCTATAGCGATTGCAGAAAGTGAAGAGTGCACCGCAACCGCACAAGCTGCTACAGAATAATGAGAGGAAGGATGTATTGTGCTGATTCGAACCTTAACATGAGCACATGAGAAGCCCTTTTTGTGTGTGTCATCTCATCTGTGAAATTAAAATTTTGAAGGGAAATGAAAGTAGTTAATATATACTATGCACTTTAGCGATTAAAAATGCTCAGCTGAGGAGTCAGTGCATAATTATTCTGTACCACTGTCGAGGTAGCGCAGAATCTCCCTACCATACATGTTTTGTCTAAGAAACCCTAAATGGTAAAGCTCGCAGCTACAGTATCTCAATACCAAGCATCTGTTCTTCCCTATGGCCTACATATTGAAATGGTATTTACCGCCGTCACAGAATACATGTACAGCGGCAGCGACGATCGCTAGTTCAGGCTACAGAACATGAAATCAGCGCACGTTGACGTGAGATGCCTTGCTCCAATGTCGTCACTGGTGGTGCCAGCTCCAGACATTCAATGTTAAGGTTCTGAACAATCCTCAATCCTCCTCTGAGCGCCGCTCGCATTTCTAGCGCTGCATTCTGCAAAATTACCGGCTGCCGATTTCTGCACTCGCTTGCAAATTACAACACATCGAAGCGGATCTATGGGTCTGATTCGGTGATCTCCAGTTCCTTAGGCACTGAAACTTCTTAAAGGCAAGCCCCGTGGTGATAAGAGCGCTTCGTAGTGATGACTGAGCTGCGGGACGGCCTGAAAGTGGAAAGGAAAGCTAGAGAAATCTTTGGGATCGCTGAAATTAAGGCCTTAACCTTCAAAAGGTCGGATGTGGAACGATGGCGAGGCAGGGCGGTCAAAGAAGACAAAACACGCGAGAGATCACGCCGTTCGAGAGAGCACGCCGATATCGAGGTGGGTGGGAAGCGTTGCAACGGGGGTCGATGGTTGCAGGCCCGTAAGGATTAGCGCCCTAACCGCGCAACTTTTGCGGCGAAGCTGGAGTGATCTAGGTAGGACCTTACAATTTCCCTCGCGGTATCCTTCCACAAGTGGGGCTAACCCGGGGTTTGCCTTTAAATCATCCAAGATCATGTGCCTTTCCTTGGATGAGTGCTTATTCTTTGGTTTGTTTTCACTCTCGTTTGTTTTTCATTAGATTCTACATACATATATCTGACTGCATGCGCAGACAATACCAGTTAATTTCGGATTGGCCTAAGCTCAAACGCACAAAAATGAAAAAATTACGAAGAATTAGCCAAATTATGAAA